AGAAAGAGAACACTTAGAGAGTTAGAAAGAGAACACTTGGAGAGTTAGAAAGAGAACACTTGGAGAGTAAGAAAAAGAACACTTGGAGAGTTAGATAGAGAACACTTGGAGAGTAAGAAAGAGAACACTTAGAGAGTTAGAAAGAGAACACTTAGAGAGTTAGAAAGAGAACACTTGGAGAGTTAGAAAGAGAACACTTGGAGAGTAAGAAAGAGAACACTTAGAGAGTTAGAAAGAGAACACACTTAGATAGAGGAGTTGGAGAGAATACATTCAAGGAGTGGAGAGTCAGTGAGTTGACATCATTGAGAGAACGTGCTCAGAGAGATGAGACTGAAGTGAATAAACTAAAGAAACATGGAAATAGATATAATGAGCTTGAAGTTGAGAAATGATAAACATTAAACTGGAATTGGAAACAGTTGAGATCCCTACCCCATAATTGTAGATGCATTTGCTAGGTACAAACTGACAAATACAAGTTTCTACCAGGATATGGCCTCATCCTTAGTCCTTAATCCTTAGACTTTGTCCTTTAGTCATAACTTTGATATGGCCAAGATTCCCACCAAATAGCCTTATAAGAAAGTTAGCAATAGCAGAAAATAGCCTGAGTAACTTAGTGATTGGGCTATCCCGTACCAAGAAACCTTTCTCAGCTGTCTACCCGCACTAAAGTGAGGGTCGTGGGTGGTTAAAGGGATGAAATATGTTCAACACTTCAAACAACTTCTTCTGAATAATTTAAAGGCATAGTATCTAATATTTGGCTCGTAGCTTCTAGGGATAGAGCCAACAAAGTTTGAAAATTTCAAGGTCACAGGGGAAAATATGTTAAACACGTTAAACACTTCAAACAACTTCTTCTGAAGAACAGAAAAGCATAGAATCATATGATTATATTTGGCTGGTAGTGTCCGCCAATGGAGCCCGACAAAGTTTGTGATCGAAATATTCGTAGTACAGTATAACATTTAATGAGAATATCTCTTACTATGACTGCTTAAATATCCAGGTGAGCAATGCAGGCCCTCTGGGCCTCTTGCTGTTAAATACTTACATCAAAGTATTATAAATGAATGATAAGCAACTGACAGCAATGTATCCCAATTTCTCACCAGATGAGCTAAGAATTGTAAACAACTGTTTGAAAATTGTAAATGTATTTTTTTATTCGTGAAAACAATTTATTATATCACAGACAACAACAATGACTTGAGGTTAAAACTGCTTGTTTGAATTATTTTACGCAAAATGTAATGCAACACATGATAATGATAACATGATAGCTTGATCTGTCAACTGGCTTGTCAAGCAACCATCCTCTATAGATGCCACCGTCATATTCTGGATAGATTTCTACATAGCACACATGAACAAGAAGCCCAGAGGGCCTGTATCGCTCACCTGGATATCTGAGCAATCATGGCAAAATATTCTCCAAATGAGATCCAAGGGAATAGGCTCGACCCCAAGGCCAATCTTTGTAGCATATCGGTATCAGATTTTTCTTGCCCAGCAATTTTATGTATGGTTATGGGGTGGGGATCTCAACTGTTTCCAATGCAAGCTGTGACTCCAGGATCAATGCTAATATCGTGACTGCATTCGTCTCTTTATGCCCAGCATTTGTATAAATAGTTTTCGAGTGGGGATCTCAACCGTTTCAAAGTTATGACCCAGGGGTTAAGTCTGCAAGGGTGGGGCAGACCTTGGGGTCAATTCTAATATCATGACTGCATTCGTCTCTTTATGCCCAACAATTGTATATATAGTTATATAGTTTTGGGGTGGGGATCTTAACCATTTCAAAGTTATGACCCAGGGTTTAAGTCTCCAAGGGTGGGGCAGACCCCGAGGCCATCCTGGAAGCATATGTGCATTCTTCTCTTGATACTCAGTAATTGTATATATGGCTATAGGGTGAGGATCTCAATCATTAATAAAGTAATAAACTTTTTTTGGCTCCACCCCTTATAGCCTGGGGGTTCAGCCCCACCATTTGTACAATTTTGAATCCCTACCTCCCATGAATGCTTCCAACCAAATATGATTTGATTTCTAGTGTGCATGCATAGTTCTATAGAAGAAGAAGTTGTTTATAGCAATATAGCGAAATTGCTCCCTTTTGGCCCCGCCCTCAGCCCCTTGGGAAGTCGGCCCCACCATTTGTACAATTTTGAATCCCCACCACCTAGAGATGCTTCCAGTCAAATAAGGTCGATAGCGATCTCTTAGTTTCAGAGATGAGGAGGAGAATGTCGGACAAAAATCAAATACTGAAATAAACAAAGGGCAATAACATTTGCAAAAATTGTGGAATCAAAATTCTTTTAAGGGGGACACAATGTCATATCATGATTATAATGCATACCAAGTTTCAAAGAGATTGGTCGAAAAATGTAGGAGGAGATTGCCGGACAAACAAAAGTTTACGCCGGACGGACGGACGGACGGACGGACAATGCCATACCATAATACTCCTGTCAAATTTGACGGGCGTATAAAAATGAAATGTCAAAACTAATTAACAAATGTAAAGCATTTGTATAGTGTATACAGAATAAATAAATCTGCCTCCAGTAAAAAGTCAACAAAATATATTGAAATGTCTCCTTTAAATGTTAAGCCACTTCATCAGTAAATTCAACATCAAAATCATCATTTGCTAATCATCATCATTTGCTTCGTTACTTTGTGCCTTTGTCAGTGTTTTGACAGCAGGTTTGACACATGGATCTAAGGCCTGTTCCTTGGTACGCCCTTCAGGAAGAGGGATATCAAATATCACAGCAGGTTTGACATACAGATCTAAGGCCTCGTCCTTGGTACACCCTTCAGGAAGAGGGAAATCAAATATCACAGCAGGATTGTTAGGTTGGTATCGTAATGTACACGTAGAAGCATTGATGTAGGTTGTATATCCGTCAGAGGTGATTCCATACCCTGCAAGTATAAATTCCTCTGTAATTAGGGGTTCCTGTCTAATTACTTACTGTCTGTTTACCTGCCAAGTCACCTGTATTTGTGCAGATCAACCTGAAAAATATCTCCAGGAGCTGCACATTGAAGTATAGCTAAGCCCTACATTTCAAAAGCTCAAAAATCACCTTTTTTTTTTAAGGTTTATTAAAATATGCTTAAAGATATTTTAGTATATCAAAGGCAAATTATTACATTAAAATGCCATTACATCTGACTCTTGAGTCACAAGTTAACATTGTGAAATGATCTGCCATTCGCAGTCTTGACCAATGTTTTGACCCCCTTTGACCCTTATTTAAAAAAGAAAGTTAAAATGGTCAAAATAATTTTTACTTTTGTACAAAAATAATTATTGATGTCATAGTAGATGCCCTTGCCCGTACCTTCATGAATATGTCCAAACACATGGTATTTGGGCTTGACTCGTTGTTGTATGGTAGACAGAAGTTCCACACATCCAGCTCTTTGGCCATCAAAACAGTAATCTCCATGACCTGTAAACAAAATGTCAGAGACCACAATTTCTACTTTAGTCAATGAAAGATATCAGACAATGATCAAGTGTAAATAAAGTTTAGATCTCACCTTCCTACACATGGAGATATGTAATGAGTAGATGACATTATCACCTGTTACTACATTTTTATACACTGTACTTGTACTTTTGACAACCTCCTTTACTTTTATCAATTTCACTTCATATGTCAGTAAGATGTGAGTACCACCCAACATAAAACATCACAGGACAA